GTGAGCGGAGGAGAGAGTTTAGGGTACGAGAATAGTGAGGGCTTGGCAGCGGTAAAGAGCGAAGACGCCATTGAAGAAATTTTAGGGATAAGGCGAGAGCTTCGAGAATGAGGAAAGGGTTTTATCAGAATTGGGGTTTTCTAGATTCTTCTATGACTTAAATATCAGAAAACCCCCCTATTTTTGGTCAATTAACAGAAAATGCTCCAATACCATAACTTTCAAAAATATCAGAAACCCTCGTTGTTAAGTTTACTCTTCTATAATTATAGAAAGATCCAAAGAATTACTACTCATGCTATAGTACTACTAAGCTGTGAATAATAAATCGACCTTCAGGTCATCTACCGCAAAAAAATTACTGCATTGTAAACAGTAAATCAAATCTCCCATTATATTTTTGAAGTTGCTGTTTATGCTACAGATTTTTATTGTATTACAAATAATAAATCAAATCAAATGTATTAAAACTTAGATCCTCCTCTAAGTATAAAAGAGTAGATATGATTTTTAAATTAAATGTATTAAAACTTAGATCCACCTTTAAGTATAAAGGAGTAAATATAATTTCTAATTTTAAGTATAGAGGAATAGAAATAATTTTTAATTTTAATATATTTTAAACCTGTTGATCTCTGATATCACACAGCCGATTGGGGCTTTCCGCCGAGGGATACAGTTCTAATCTTCGCACTGACGGCGAAGAGGGAGAGGATGAGAGGTGGGACCGACTCTTCCTCCGACTTTATGCCCGATCCTTAGACTGGAATTATTGATCCTTCTGCACAAACAAGAAGAAGTAACCCGTAAGAGGGCGGGGACTAGTTCCCTCGTGATACCTCCGATGATCAAGTCAGCTGATGAGCTTGAGTGAGTTTTGAGTGAAGAAGATCTGAGGATCATTGAGGTCCTGGTCTTCATTACTCTTATTGAATTTTTTTTTAAAAAAAGCGTAGCTTTTAGAATTGCTTAGAGTTTGAGCTAAAAAGAAGAGTTCAGAAGTCTCCCAGAGTCCAAAAATCCTCCTTTCGTCCTACCCCCCTTACCTCCTTTTATAGTCCATCGCCTCTGAGATTTGACCTTTGGCTTTAATTATGGATAGGAGGGACGGTTGCGGGGTGAGCAGACATGCTGCTTAGTCATCATTCGCTTTACAGATATCAGCTGGCGACTAGAAGGGAAGTTATTCGAGCACAAGAGAGGACGTCTTGGAAATATCCCAGATTCGATAGATGAGACGGGACGGAGGATAGACCGACTGTTTGGGCCTCCTTCCCTTTCCAAGTTGCGGCTGGCGACTGGAGGGGAAGTTATTCGAGCACAAGAGAGTATCTTAGTGATCTCTGGGAAGTGACTTTGTGGGCCGCGTGAGCTGTTTTCGCATGAGATTTGTCAGAGTTGAGATCTTGATAGGATCGCTCAATAAACTGTGGTGTTGATTGATGTATATCTGAAGGTGGCTTAGTTGGATCTTATCCCCTTAGTAAAGACGGGTCGATTTGTGAGTTGTCCATATGATTTGTCGACCAATCAGTCGAGTGAGCTTCTAATCGAGTAAACTGCCGAGAAGGTGGTCGAGCCGACTATTTGGGGAGTCGACTCGACTTATGAGGGATCGGCTAATCCCTCACTTCGGCGATAAAAGATGACTCGTCTCCTCGGCGGGTCAATATGTTTGCTCTTGGCTGGGCTTTTGGGCCACTGAGTTGGTTTGGACCATAGTTTTTTTGGGCCTATGAAGACAATCTTTCGACATCTTTATTTTTAAATGGTAAATTACCATAACAAAACCTTAAATTATTTTTTAAGTATAGAGGAGTATATATAATTTCTAATTTTAAACGTACAATAATCAAATTAAATGTATTAACAAGGGTCAATATGTTTGCTCTTGGCTGGGCTTTTGGGCCACTGAGTTGGTTTGGACCATAGTTTTTTTGGGCCTATGAAGACAATCTTTCGACATCTTTATTTTTAAATGGTAAATTACCATAACAAAACCTTAAATTATTTTTTAAGTATAGAGGAGTATATATAATTTCTAATTTTAAACGTACAATAATCAAATTAAATGTATTAACAATTAAAGAGATTTAAGCTTAAAATATAATATTTAAAAAAACAGGAGGCTGTGATTTGCATGGCTGCACAGCCTGCACACTAGTTTAAAGAGTAATTGGACAACGGCCTTTCATCTTTTTTTTAATTTTATTAGAAAAACCCCTAGTTTTAGGCCCCTTTGCTTATCGGGTTACAGTTCATCATTACCCCAAAAACCCGACCCGACCAGACCTCAGTCCTTATGTCTTCCTCCCAAATTCGACACCCACAGATCTCGTGCTCATTTTCTCAATTCCTCAGGCAAAAAACTCAAGAAAAAAAATGGCGGAAATCCGCTGGTACTGGCCGCTGGTGGCCGCATCGCTAGCGATCAGGATCGTCCTCATCTTCTGCTTCACCGACGACCTCAACCTTGCCTCTGTCCCCGAGGTCACCACTCCTCTCACTAGCCTCCGCCGACGTGAGAAACCCTAACTCTCTCTTTCTGTTTGATTGATTGCTAGATTTTTTTTGAAAATTTTGATGAATTTTGAGTGATTAATGAAGTGAAAGATCTGGTCTTGAACTTGTGATGCAGTTGCAGAAGGCTACTGGCTGAAGCAGGCTTCAATGTCGCCTTACTCTGGTAATTCCCAACTTCTAGGTTTTTTTTCTTTACCTTTGAAATTTTGGTTGATGATCAGAATGTTGGGTCAAAATTATTGAGTGTAGTATCAATGAGAATGTTAATGCTGTGGAGGCACAGTAAAATATAGGATATATAGGAAATGAGTGGGTTTGTAGGAGATAAGAGATTAGAGGTTGCCCCCATGGAGGATAAAGAAAGAAAGAAAGATCAGTATGATCATGTACCGCGGAGGCCGCTGAATGCACCAGTTAAGAATAGTTATAAGATTATAGTAAATGGGGCAATAGATAGATCTTTAAAAAATTTTGGAAGCAATTATAGTGTATACTAACAGCTAATTTTAAGGGAGGAGATGACCCATGATGGAAATGACTAGAAGAAATGGATTCATGCAAACGCAGCAAACCTCCTCAATAAATTTTGGCCTGACATTTTAGTTGAAGCTTTTGGCTTTGGTTCAAAATTAACCGGTCCTTGGAGATTTCTTAAGTAGGAGCAATCACGGGGAAGAAATCTTAGAATTAACCATTCAAATTTATTATATGACCTTTGAGGTTTATGTTATATTGTTATTGCATCAAGCAACAATGTGGTTTTTTAGTATGTTTATGTAAAATACGTGGGCAGCTGGATACACATTTTCAGAAAACCCTTAAACCTATGTATTTGGAAGCAGCGCCTTTATCATGCTGAGTTGCAATGGTTCCTTGATATTATTGTTTGTTCAATGTTTGAGAAGAAAATGTGGGAGAATTTTCTGACAGCAATTTTTTGTTTTCCTTTTCCTCCAGGATCCATGTACCATGGTTCTCCTTTGCTACTGCCGATTCTTGGGCCATTGACTGTGAAGAGGTAAGAGACAGTAGCGTTGCTTTATGTTCTTATCTATACATGGTTTATTTAAAATACCTGAATTTTACATTTCTTAATATGTTTATATGAAAAAGTTGCAAAGACAAAAAAAGACTGTTGTCAATATTAACAGATAGTGTATTTATGTCAAATTAAAATCACAACACTCTATTCGGAGTTTAAACTCATTTATCAGTTTATAGAGGATTTGTTATTTTGGAATTAATTTCAATATCTGTCTTCAATGTGCAGAGTTGATGGAGTACCCACACATATTTTTTACAGGTAAGCTTGATTTATTGATTTTTTTTAAGTGAGTTTTGTCTCTTAGCATAACCATTGTAAAAGGTAATGCAAAGGATATGACAGAATGTCATCCTATTTGTGATCCTTTGATTTTACGCGGTAATGCTAGTGCATTCATATTTTTGTCCTTGTATACAAAGAAATTGTTTACATGTATCCTCTGGCAACTTGAGTTTAATATGGACAAGTGGTTAAGTGAAACTGTCCTTTTATAATTTTCTCTGAATTTCCAGGTTGAATAATTCTGCGTAGACAGAAGGAGGTCGTTAGAATAAAATTATATTTGTTTCTAAGAGCAGTATGCTCTTTTGTTATTATTATTTTCTTCAAAGAAATATTAACAATAATTTTATGTAAAAACAATGTTGCGTAAAGGCTATACCAAATGCAAAAGAATTGGAACAGGCTTATTTTTTTACTTATGTAAAAACAATGTTGCGTAAAGGCTATACCAAATGCAAAAGAATTGGAACAGGCTTATTTTTTTACGTTAACATTTGAATCTATGAGCTTTCTCTATACCAAATGCAAAAGAATTGGAACAGGCTTATTTTTTTACGTTAACATTTGAATCTATGAGCTTTCTGGGCTTTTCCATGGGTTCTGTTCTATAATTTTCCAAACCAACTGTTTCTTATAGTCTGCAGCAGGAAGCACACATGACATGAAGATCAATCTTAGGAGCTTGTTTTATCATGTTGTTCTTTACAATTAAAGACTTTGTTAATGTCTTCCTTATTCATACAAAATACAGTTTGATATTTGTGATTGTAGATCTTATTACTGCCATGCTTATCCGGGCGACTGGTCGGAGACTTTTGGTTAAAGGCTGTCAGAATATGCAACTGCTGAATCTTGAAAACGCCGATCAAGGTAAGTTCTCAAACAAATTTTGGTTGGGTAAGATATGGTAGTTCCATCTCTGTGATATCTATGCATGTTCTTGTGTATGCCTGTGCTCCTTCTAGCTATCTCTTAATTGTTGACAATAACGGGGCTTGTAGATGGTAAAATTGTTATAGCACATAGCCCTGCAATTTAAAATACATCAAGAAATTTGAATCAAGAAAGTGATGAGCTGAGAAAAGAAGCATGGAGTAGGTGGTGGACACAATAGTTCAAAATGAAGTTGGAAAAATGGTGACAGTAGTTGTCTTAGGTGATATTGCTCTCCAATTTTGTTTTATTGAGTTGTAGTCGAGTTTAATTTATATATTAAAACTATTTTCTCATTATTTAAACTAAAATTAGTTTGTTCTCATGTGTGTGTTTATGGGGAAATACTGCGTATGAGGTAGCAACGCATTTTACAAAATGAGCTATCAAGAGATAGCCATGTAGTGAGGCCCACCTTGTCAGTCACATCAAATGGTGTAGACCTCCCCACTATCTCTTGGTAACTCATTTAGCAAAATGAGCCGCCACCTCATACCCATCATATATATATATATATGTGTGTGTGTGTGTGTGTACACATGTGTGTGCACACATACATGTATATATGTATACATACGTAAATACGTACACACACACACATGTGTATACATATATATGTGTGTGTACAAACGCGCTCGTGCACACATACATACATACATAATTGTATGTATCTATGTGTGTGTGTGTGTGTGTGTGTGTGTGTGTGTTCTATATATATTCTAGTTCTTTGCCAACAAATTGGTTGAATTGATCTCTTCAATTTACCGTTTTTTCTGTACTCAGGGAAATTGGACACTGGAGACTTGGCATCCCTTGTATTCTTATGGAATCCTTTGACGATAATCACCTGTGTTGGCTCATCAACATCACCAATTGACAATTTGATGGTCGTATTGGCCATCTATGGAGCTTGTTCACGTAAGAAACAAAACTTTCCAAAGCTGGGCCTTTTGTCATGCAGCTATTTGCATCAATCATGTAGAATTTCTCTATGACTTGATTTTATTTTGTTTTATTTTATGTTATTGTCTTTTGTCTATTTTTAGAAAACTAACCTACTTATTCTGACTACATCACATTATGGCCATTCTTACTGTTAGCAGGAAACTAGTATGAACATGTAACAACCATTAGTAGC